TTTATTTATTTATTTATTTATTTATTTATTTATTTATTTTGTAATCCTTTTCATGTCAAGTGTTTGGCCAGTTCTTTAAACACATAGAAGACTATCTTCTATGTCTGTTGTGAATGAAAAATTCATCTATTTTTGGGTCTGCATTGCTATTGTCCATGGAAGTGATCTGGATTGTTTTTCATCTGGTTTGCTCCTCTACTTACTCAGAATATTACCAATGGTTTGGATCCCCCACTGAGCTTTTATTCACCCAAGACTTTCTTCTTGGTGGATGCTCATCAAAATTAAAAGGTGTAAGAAGCATTGAGATCTTATATTATGGGCATGTACATTCTCATTAATGTGATTCTGCTGGTGCTGATGGCCCAGGTCCTCCACACTGAGTAACAAAACTCTTTACATAGAGAGCTCACTGCTCACTTTTCTGATTCTTTTTTCTTTTCTTCTGGTTCTTTTTGTATAAAGGTCATACACAAAAATGTTCAGGTATTTGGTGGCTGAAGGGCAGGGACAGTTGCTAAGTCAGAAGAGCAGTTTCTTTCCATGAACTGGAAGCTCTGTGTGCTTTTCCATTTAGTATGTCACCTTTCTTAACTTATGAAGATAACTGAGGCTTAGCATTTGTCCTCTGTATGACATCTTTCTGCATTAATGAATGTCTATGCTACTATCAGAATGCGCCTCTGAGTCTATAGGCAGTCATGTAGAGTCAAGAATCTAAGTCCACTCCAATATATGGACATTTCCTATCAGTAGGATTTGAGAAAATACGGCTCCTACATTATTCTCTTTCCTTTCAGAGAACTCCCAAAGGGGAAGAAAATCTTATGTTGATAGATAAGTTCAAAGTATTCCTTGAATAGTGTCTTAGTTAGCTTTCTATCCCTCCGATGGAACACAATGCCTATAAACAATACCGGGGAGAAAGGCTTCATTTTGCGGACACTTCCACATTGTAGATCATCATTGAAGGAAGTCAGGGCAGGAACCTGCAGAGAGAAGCAGATATAGAAGCCACCAGTGGATGGTGTTTACTTGATTGCTCCCCATGGTCTGCTCAGCTGCTTTCTTATACCAACCAGGACCACCTGCCTTGGAATGGCAACACCCATAGAGCATGGGGCCTGTGCATGTCAATTGTCAATCAAGAAAATGTCCTATATTCTTGCCTACAGGCCCATTTTGTGGAAGCATTGTCTTAATGAAGACTCTCTCTTCCAACATATGTCTGGGTTTATGTAAAGTTGAAAATATCAAACAGCAGCAACAACAAGAACCAACCGACACAAATCACCATAGGTAAGTACTGAATGACTGCATCTTTGCAGGTTTCTGGTCAGTGTTATATTTTCTCTCATGGTCTGGAATTGACATCTTGCTTATATTTTTCATTCTAATCTAATCTCTGTATTCTTGTCCCTCATCCCCTCTCTCCACTGCACTTCAGTTGGCTTGTCAATGGATGTTTCTTTTGTCTGATCTCACAAGTATTTTAATTGGACTCCATTCTTGGACATTACACTGAGTAGGGACTGTGGTTCCAATCATCTTTTAATGGAATAACCTACTAGAAAGCACATAGCAAAGATTTTATTTAATTAGGAAATACTGTTTAATCCGTCTTCAGGAAAGAGTATTTCTTCTATTATTAGTTGGTATCCATGAATACTTAGTATCATGAATTTTTTTTGCTGCTACTGTCTGAGGGGGAAGGCTTGTTGAAATTACAAAAAAATAATCAAACTATAATGGTTTAAACAAAAAATAAAACAAGGAAAACTAAAGCCAAAGGAAGAGTCAATAGAACTGTAGGCAAGCGTGTTAAATTTAGGGCAGACTTTATTTATGATTTGCTGTACTTTCTCCTCCATGGGCCATGATTTCTATATTCATTCAGTTAAAATCTTCTAGGTCTTAACACCCGCAAGGTATCTTACAGCAGCATCTTGATCTTGCCTTATTTTGACACACAGAAAAACAAGTCCAGCTTATTTCTGGCTGTTTGTGAAAGTGGGCTTAGCACATATTTTTTTCTTTTGAGACAGGGTTTCTCTGTGTAGCCATGGCTTTCCAAGAACTAGTTCTGTAGACCAGGCTGGCCTTGAACTAACAGAGATCCTCCTGCCTCTGCTGGGATTAAAGGCATGTACCACTAGTGCCCAGATTATCAATTATTAAATCATTTACATAGTAGCAGTAAAATCTAGAATGGAGATTTTCATCCTGATCCATATCATTGGTGTACTAAAGGACATAAATCTAAACTTTCTCAGAGTATAATTTTCCACTGTTAATTGCTTGCCTTTCCTTCATAAGTTTCTAAAAAACACCATCCAGTGCTCTATCTTTGATCAAATTATCACCATCATACTCATCATTGGAAAGCCAAGGGGATGCCCTAACTCCCTTGTGAGGAACACAAAGTGTAGACAGATTGATTCTATAACTTCCCAAGGTCAGATGTGGCTGGAACTCAATCTGCTCTGGAAATTTCTTTTCCTGTTTAGTGCACTATTTAATAACCAGTCTATACACAGTTTTAAAAACAAATGTGATTTTCAAAAAAGTTTCATTTTATCTGTTATTAAAAAAAAACCAAAGACCTCGATTTGACAAGCCCTCTGGCTAGATTCCACATTTCTCCACAGACAGAAAACTCAGAATGTCTGATTAAAAACTGGAATGTACTTTGGGGAAATGAGAATGTACTCTCAGACTCCATTTGGTGTTTTCTCTCACTTGCAGAACAGAGGAAAGAGCTTTAGCTCTCAGTTATTTTCCTTACCTCTGATACAAAGAAACCTTGCATTGTCATCCTTCTATTTTGGCCATAACCATGTCAGCCACCATGGCTGAGTTCTCCAGTAAGTTCATAACGACACCGGTAGAGCTTCACAGAGCTGTTTCATGTGTGTAGTTGACAGAACACATAGCCTTGCTTTTTTGTTTTTGTTTTTGTTTTTAAATCACTTGTCTGTATCATATTTTCTTACCAACCACACATACTTTATGGTACTAGATCTTTTATTGAATTACACAAACACACATTAAGGTATATGCATGCATGCACACATGTGTACACACACACACACACACACAATACTGCTATAGATAAGTGCTTCAAATAACTGAAGTGCACAGAAAGTTAACTTGTTTCAAATCTAACAACAAATAAGTGTCAGGAGTCAGAATTGCCCTCTGGAACCCAGGTTCTAGAATTATTTTTGATTATTATGACATTGGTCTTAGCAAGGCATCACCCTTGTTCTAGTCCTTACAACTCTTAATGACTTATGGGTAGGGAAGTATTTCTTTTCTTTTCAGGTGCATTAAAATTTACTCAGTCAGATTAATCACAAAGTATACTTGGGTTAGTGCTAAATAATGCCAGTGTATTCCTTGTGTAAGTTCCTAAAAAATAACATTTAACAAAACCTATCAGAAGGCTCTTGTGGGGGCAGTTCTAATTTGATATGTGGCAAGTTATGCTTTAGAAATTCCATGGTTGAAGTACTTCAATCAACCCTCCTTTACCCCAGCAGCCTTTCTCATGGCTAACATGCAGCTAGCATGTACTAGCAGCCAGTCAACCAACCTGAAGATCAAGACTTAGCAATGTTGAATTCTGAAATAGACTTGATTTAAGGAGGAAATGACTGGAATACAAATATGGAACCCAAGAACCATTTCTCTTGGAAACTCATTGCAAAGAAACTCACACTGTTTTGAGTTTCTGAGAACTTATCACATTCCTAACCTTTAATTTAAAATATTTTTAGCATCTGAAATGTTACCATTCTAAAGGCTAGACGCATGAAGAATCTTGTACAAAACTTCTTGCATGAGATATTTGAACTACCTTGAGAGTGAGTGTGATTTATGATTATTAATAAGGCCCAGTCATTGAGAATACGAGATTGAATTCATTAAAGCTATTATTTTGTTTGGAATCTTCTGCTTGCTTTAATGCTTTATTGTGGAAAATGGAAGAGTCTAATCATGGGGGAAACTTAGAAATAATGCCTCTCTTTATTTCTCTGCACTTGAGCAACTGCAAAGGACTCTATGTCTCTTTCTTCCTACGAGGGCAGCAATATCTCTGTTTTGAATGTACCTCAAGGAAGACATGAACAGTTCCACAGGCAAACTACCAGATGTTTCTGACAGCCTGACAGCTGTATCCCACTTCTAGAAAACATCTTATGAAACTGAGGCTTTAAAAATGATTAGATAGGGATTATCTATTTGCATTTTAAAAGCATTCTTTACGGCATAGATGGTTCAATGGAGAGTTACTTTAAATAGCCAGTACCCTTACCATGCTTAAAATAAAATTTGAGCTATAAACAACATCTCAGAAATAAAACAACTGCAGTAAGGGAAGCATAATTATAACTTTAAAAAGACAATTACATAATTCTTTATATAGAATATTTATAAAGAGATGGGAGCTGCTCTCTTTCCTTTAAATCTTTATTTCAAATTGTTTAAATATAATGGCTCATAGTTTTCATTGCTTTCAGTATGTCCCCACTATGACTGGACCTTCTTCATGTACCACTGCAGTCTGTGAGTCAACAAATGTCCATTTAACAGATAGTTCAGGTTTCAATGATTCTGTAGGATGGATATACGCCTTTTAGGATACAGCTAGGTCAGCAAATTTCTTCTTTTTACTTTTTTCATTGACAAAATTGTGTCTATATAATGTACAACACATTGCTTTTATACTTCTGGACATTCTAGAATGAATAAATCAATCTGTTTAGTTATTTTTTTTGTGATGAGAACATGGGGATAAACTAGAGACCTGAAATGTAGCTATCATGTTGTTGAATACATCCCTTGAATCATAATTTTGTGCACTTCAACATCACCTCACAACACTGCTTCTCACCCCAAAATGAGTACACTAATTCTCATTCCTATGACCATTGAGCAAGATTGCCTCTTTTCCTTATCCCTTCCTTTGCCTATATTTTTTGTTGTTGTTAATCAAGGTAGAGTGAACAAGCAGTCCCCCACTGCCACAAATCACACAGTTGACTTTTCTGAATTAGGGGAAATCCTACGGATTGACAAACACCGAGTGCAATGTATGAGCCTTACCAGGGGAAAAGCACCTTTGGGGTTCTGGTATCTGATGTGCTAGGTAAGTAATGTCTTTTGGGCTCTTCCTGTAAGCCACCTGAGGTAACCTGTGAAGATGGTTTGCTACTCTCTCGACCTAGAAAACCCTGCAAAATCATGCAAGTCACGAGGTTCAAAACTCCGGGTTCACCTTAAGAATACACGTGAAACTGCCCAGGCCATCAAGGGTATGCATATCCGAAAAGCCACCAAATACCTGAAAGATGTCACATTGAAGAAGCAGTGTGTGCTATTCCGGCGATACAATGGTGGAGTCGGCAGGTGTGCCCAGGCCAAACAGTGGGGCTGGAAATAGGGTCGGTGGCCGATAAAGAGTGCCGAATTTTTGCTGCACATGCTTAAAAATGCAGAGAGTAATGCTGAGCTTAAGGGTCTAGACATAGATTCTCTGGTCATCGAACACATCCAGGTGAACAAAGCACCTAAGATGCGTCGACCAATTTACAGAGCTCAGGGCCGGATTAACCCATACATGAGCTTCCCCTGCCACATTGAAATGATCCTCACGGAAAAGGAACAGATTGTTCCCAAGCCAGAAGAGGAGGGTGCACAGAAGAAAAAGATATCCCAGAAGAAACTGAAGAAACAAAAACTTACGGCACGGGAATAAATTCAGCATAAAATAAATGCAGATAAAAGTAAAGAAAAAAAAGTATTGTCTTTTAGATAAAAGATACTCCAACAGGTTTGATGTGACTGATGATAGTTCATGGATTTTTTCATTGGCATTCTCCTGGTGATTAAAATGACTTTAATGACTTTTTCATATATTTCTTGGTCTTTTGAATGCCTTTTAAGAGCAATTTCTGACTCTTTTTGCTCAGTTTTTAATGTGCATTGATTTTTTTCTTCTTGCTTTTTTGTTGCACAAGTTCCTAAAATATTTCAGACAATTTTCCCCCAAATGCATGGCTTGTTTTTGTTTTGTTTTCATATTACAGGCTGTATGGTCTTAGCTATTTTGGATCACCTGAGCCACTACTTCAGGGGGTCTTGCTTGATCAAACCATATTAGTCTGGAAGGAATCCACAGCTTTTCATCTTCTGTGGAAACAAAAGCAAAACCTCTTCTCCAAAGTAATATGTTCTTAGATTGAAAATTTGAAGTCAAGGCATTTTAAAAATATATAGGTTGGATTAATCCAGCACCATTTATAATCCAGTGTCTTTTAGCAACTGTTGCTCCTTCCTCAGCAGCCAAACAATTCAAAGACAGCACAATAACATGCAGTATCCAGACTCTCTGTGTATTTTCCACCTTTTATGTGACTTTTTAAAAAAACTCTATTTCTTTTACTTTTATTTATCTTTTTTTTTTTGAGGCAAGGTTTCTCTGTGTAACTTTGGCTACCCTTGAACTCACTCTGCAGACCAGGTTGACCTTGAAATCACAGATATCTGCCTGCCTCTGCCTCCCAAGTTCTGGGATTAAAGTCCTGTGTCACCACACTCAGCTATTCTATTTTTCTAAGGACTTTATCCTTTTTTTCTCTCTCCCAAGACTAGGTTTTAAACTTAGTGTAAACACTTTAAATGTTTTTCTTCAGCTGAAGCAGTCTTTACTGTACATCTCTATTTCTGACTACATGAGTCTTTAAACAGCATGGCTAAAATTAAAGCAGTGGCTGGCCCTGCCTTATTCCTTGGCTTTCTGAGATTGTAGCTTCATGCTTATTGCTACAACTCTGTGGAGTTTATAGGTCCATGTCACCATCAAGTAGCATGCCGTCTGCTGCTCACAAACACCACTTAACTGTTTGGTAGCAGGGCCTCTTAACAGAGCTATGCATGCTTTTTGTCATTGAATCAGGAAGCCTCTCTTAAAGGAACCAAGAGCCTCTATTTGACTGTAACAAACAGAGCCTACTGAGAAAATACTGCTACCAAGAAGCCATGCTTGTCTCCGTTCTTTTGTGTTTGTGATCCTCTTTTAAGCTTTTGTCAGGTTTTACAAAGGAAATTCTTGCTACACATGTAGGTGCCATTTTGTAGACAGAGTTTCTTTCCTGCCTGGTTCTGCTGCCCTTCAGCCCCAAATAAACACACAGAGACTTATATTAGTTATGAACTGTTTGGCCAATGGCATAGGCTTCTTATTGGCTAGCTCTCTCTTAGGCTAGCTCTCTCTTAATTATTAACCCATTTCTATTAAACTGTGTATTACCAGGAGGCTGTGGCTTCCCCATAATCCGGCATGTTACTCCTTTGGCAGCTTTGCATCTTCTTCGTGGCTTCTGTCTCCCTTCCTCTGCCCAGAATTCTTCTTGTCTGGTAGCCCTGCCTATACTTCCTGCCTTGTTATTGAACCATCAGTGTTTTGTTCATCAACCAATAAGAGAAACATGTACAGAAGGACATTCTCCATCATATATATATTCTGTCCAGTCTATATAATGTTACTTGTTTTTATGTTTTCAGGGCTGACTATTAGGCACTGGAAATAATTGGTGTGCTCCTCCTTGGAAGGGCCAACCACCATTCCTTCTCCCAGCTTTCTTAAGTTGCCTATAGTTCTTTGTGTAGGATGGAGGCCTTGCGGACTTATTCCCTTATAGTTTGGCATATCTATTGGTGTCATCCATGTTCTTCTCACATTTGGACACTCATGTTGGTAAGACTATATGGGTGTAGCTTCTGATGTTACTAGGAGACACAATTTCACAGCAAATTCCATGGTTCTCTGGCTCTTGAATTCTTGTTGCTTCTTGTAGCCCCTGAGTATTGGGTGCAGAAGTTATTTCGTAGATGTATCCATGGGGACTGTATTTCATAACTCTGCATTTTGATTGGTTGTGGTTTTCTGTACTGATCTCTAAGCATATTTTACTCACACAGATGGCTTACAGAGTCCATGAGCCTATAAGAGGGATTTCTTTATGTTCACTGTCAACTACAGTATTCCCAACCTATGACTATCATTCTGAGTGCCTCTTAAGAACAAGTGAAGCAAACAATAATGCATACAAATCCTGAGTCCCTCAATCTCAGACACTGGAAGACTGCTCAGGGATTTATTTATGCCTCTTATCTCCATTTTCATCCTAGGAGCATCCTTTATGACAGCAGGAACTTTTGTAAATATCTTTTCTAATTTGAAAATATTATTTCTTTATCTTCTTTGGAAGTGAAGCAATAATTTTTAGGTAAAAAAACTTGTACAAATCTGATGCCATTCCTGCTGTATTAATTTATTCACTATATGTTATTGATGTCTCAGTTTTTGTAGGTTCAAGCTTTGGTTTTAAGAAAAGAAAGTTCCTGTGATTGCAAAAGATCAGACTTTTCTAGGGAATCACTAAAGAAGATGCTCAGAACTCTCTTCGTCTTCATAGGAGAATGTCTTCATTATTCATGAAAAGAGTAATAAACTTTAAATGTTATAAAAAAGCACACTTGTCAAAGTTTGTTATATCTCAGTATGGATAATTATAGCTACTAAGGGGTTTGTAGCCCCTTTTCTGGTGATGATCCATCTGTACAAATTATATAGATACACTGGCAACATTTATTTCTCATATTTTCAATGAACAATCCAGAGAGACAGTGCCCACATCCAAGGTCATTGATTTCTATTAGGTTTCTTTTCTTTTCTTTTTTCCTTTTTAAAATTTAAATTAGAAACAAGCTTGTTTTACATGTCAATCCCAGTTCCCTCTCCCTAACCTTCTCCCCTGCCCCCCAATGGTCCCCTATCCCATCTCCTTTCTGCTCCCCAGGGAGGGTGAGGCCTTCCTTGGGGGATCTTCAAAGTCTGTCATATTATTTGGAGTAGGGCCTAGAACCTCCCCGATGTGTCTAGGCTGAGAGAGTATGCCTCTATGTGGAATGGGCTCCCAAAGTCCATTACTGTACTAGGATAAATACAGATCCACTACCAGATGCCCCATCGATTAACCAGACCTCCAAACTAACATCCATGTTCAGGGGGTCTTGAACAGTCCTATGCTGGTTTCCCAGCTATCAGTTTGGGGTCCATGGGCTCCCCCTTGTTCAGGTCAGCTGTTTCTATGGGTTTCTCCAGCTTTGTCTTGACCCCTTTGCTCATCATTCCTCCCTCTCTGCAACTGGATTCCAGAGTTCAGCTCAGTATTTAGCTGTGGGTGTTTGCTTCTGCTTCCTTCAGTTACTGGATGAAGACTCTAGGAAGGCATATAAGTTAGTCATCAATCTCATTATCAGAGAAGGGCATTTAAGGTAGCCTCTCAGCTATTGCTTAGATTGTTAGTTGGGAATCAACCTTGTAGATCTCTAAACATTTCCCTAGTACCATATTTCTCTTTAAACATATAATGGCTCCCTTTATTATGGTATCTCTTTTTTTGTGCTCCTCTGTTCTTCCCCTGACTCAATTTTCCTGCTCTCTCATGTTCTCCATTAGGTTTCAATAAAACTGAGTGAATTACATCTTTTTTATGCAGATTCTGATTACTATGACAACATGTTGGGTATAAACAGAAAAGAAGTCTGAATTGCATACCTTCTGTATAAGGAAGTTAGAGCCTGAAGAACAGACATAAGAGTGTGGCTAGTTACTCTGTTCTAAACACGATTAATTCATTTACTTTAAAAAAATTAACCAGCATTTTTCTGATACTCTTTACTTCTTTGCTGGCACCACAGGAACAAGTGACTTAGTGTTCATTCTCCCTCATTCCTGTTTAAACTGAAAGGAATGATGTCAGAAGTGGGATGACCCCATGCTCCAAGGTTTCTAGAGAAAGAGGTAAACCTGTCGCCACAGCCTGCGTTGTCGGGCCGCTTAGACGCATTAGTCAAAATCCATATACTCGTGCCATCCCGGCGCTTCTGGGGTTTAGACTCGGCACTCCCAAGATGATAAAGACAGATCCAGATGAAGAAAAAACCTCTAAAGATTTACACTACATTTAAAAATATATGTAGGCTTGTGAGAGAAAAAATAACAGGAGGAAATAGAGTGGTGGTGGGGCTCAGCGGCTTTTGGCGGAAAGATTTATCATAACAAAGGTTCATAATCTATCCCATCTGAC